TAAAAACCACATGAGCGCTCAGCTCGAGATACCCCAGCGAGTCGTTTCCCATCAAACGCATTTCACTTCCGCAGCCCGTGGAGGAGGAACGCGCCGCCTCGCCCCCCCCCTCTCTCCTAGTCTCGCGGAGTCTTGTCCCACGAGATTTCGACGTCTCATGTAGAGCGAGCCTCCAGAGCAAGTTGGACAAAATGATGTAACCATCATGCAACGCACCTATGCAAGACGTTGATCGCAACTGCGCAGGATCTCGCTTGTCTCAAACAGCCTACTCCTCGTCCAGTCACTGTTTAGCTCTGAGTGGTTAGCGAATCCCTTGCTAATCTGCTAATGTAAACAAGACCAAATTACCTCAACAGCACAGGTCGGGCTTGATTCTGATAGAGAGTTTCTGATAGTGGCTGTGGGTCCACCACGTGGGTGCAAATCTGGACATCTCAGGCTCCGTTGTATTCCACCGTTTTCAGAGGTATCTGCGCAACGAGGAAAGAGGAGAGGGTCTCTTATTTTCTGACACAACCCCGGGGCACATATTTATGTATAAAATACATCAAAAAGTGGCATTTCTCATGATACGGAGAGCGCCTTTAAGTGACAGTATGCATCTGCCCGAACAAAAGCCCTATATAAAAGTAAATAAATAGCAAAATACGACACAAGTTTAACTTGTAGAACCCATGACGAAAATGTTTTATCCTATTTCATTAAAAAAGACAGATATGGATTTAGTGGAATCAAAGTTGCTTTTGTTTTATAATGTTGGAGGTGAAGTGATTCCATGAAAAGTAAGTAGGCAACCGTAAGGGGTCTGGTCTGGCAGATGGTGGCTCTTCTTCCTGCCGTACTTTGCTCTCCTGCTGCTTTTCAATTAGTGCCCGATAAGCCCAACCTCAACAAACACACAGGTGATTTGTGTTACGGCTCAATTATGTCTTTATGACTGCATGGAACGGAAGATAGGAGGCGCCTGCGGCCAAAGGTACGCTTGCCCCCTCCACCACGCTCAATAAACTTGGCTGCTACTGGACAAGTTCACCATCCTTTTCTGTATACTAGTTAACAGTCTTGGACCAGCTTACTCTCTCATGGTGTTTAACGGCGCAACTATACAATAATATTCCATTTGTATTATGACCTTAATGTTTACAGACTAGCAGTCTTCAGACTGGAAAACAACAACTATTATCTTGCTCTAGCCGCCAGGGACAATAGACTAAATAATGGCAAAGTAAATAAATGGCACTCAAAGGGCTATAAAGATGTATCATTTGAACGCCTTGGACAGAGGAACACTCACTTGTGTGGTCAATCAACCAGCCACAGAAGCATGGTTGATTCATAGTGTGTAGCACGATAACTAGAAACATTTTGGCTTTCATATAGATGGATAAATCTGTCAGACAGCGACAGAGGGGGAGAAATTATGGAGTCTTTGAGACCTGCATTGATTACAAAAGGTCAACTGTACAATTAGTTGATCAACCAAAAAATACTCAACTATTTGATTGTCAGTTTCATGGACATTTTCAATGCCTGCTATCAGCCTCTCCAGGCCCTGATCACAACTGGCATTAAAAAGCACCTCCATATGGCATTGTTGATGTCTCAAGCAATGTACTTCCTAGCCTGCCAGCATTTAAGAGAAAGAGAAAAAGACACACACACCACACACACAACACACACACACACACACACACACACACACACCACACACACACACACACACACACACACACACACACACACCACACACACACACACACACACACACACACACACACACACACACACACACACACACACACACACACACACACACACACACACACACACACAACACACACACACACACACACACACACCACACACACACACACACACACATCACCATAGAGGTAACTAGAGGTAACCAGACCCCACTCTTTCGATCTTAACCAAGTCCTTACCTAACACCATGGTCATGTAGCGCTCCTCCACGCCCGCCTCCAGCAGCAGGGGGGCACGTATGTGATCCCAGCTGCCACGCAGATCTCCAGGCCACAGGTCAGGGAGTTCAGCAGGACGAGACGCCACTGAGACCTCCATCCAGGCATATTTACAGCGGCTGGCTCGCCTTTCCTCTCCTCTGGGATGAACACTAGTGGGGCAGGGGAGGGGGTAGGCACCCGGGCAGGGGCGAACGAGGGATCGTGGAGAGGCAGATGGTTACCGCTGGGACGAGAGGCTGTCGGGGAGGGACAGCAGCAAAGACACGTGGATGTCTCGGATGACCTGAAGGATTCATCTCTTCTCAGCATTCTGTATCTGAAGAGCGGGGAGGAGAGAAAAATACACTTTGAACTATTTTTTGAACAACAAGGTAAAGCGCCTAATGACACACACCATAAGCCTGTCATACAGAATGAGATTTGTACTGTTTTGGATTGTGAGAAATTGTGAGTAAGGGCTAAGGTATGCAGGTTGGGGGGGGGGGGGGTTGCTGACAAAAGAATCCCATCATGTCACATTCCAACATGTTTTCCGTACATATTTTAACAGAAAAACTAGCAACAGCCCCAAGGATATACAGGGCTTGGCAATAAATCATTAATATACCATTATTGTGACATAAGGATTTGTAGTGAAGTTTGTAATCTGGCACAAAAAGAGGCCTTTTTCCATTTCTGTGACCTGCACTACAGTCAAATTATGTAATTTTCTGAACTTACAGAACAGCTCAACCGTGCTTTTTTGCCTTTAATCACTAAGTCATGATATCCACATTGCTGATTATTATAAATCAAATAAAAGCTGGTAATATTTAAGAAAGAAAAAAAATAGTGAACTCTTCAGTATCGTCACAATATTGATAAAAGTATTTGATCAAAAACATTAGATTTCCTCCATATCACCCAGCCCTAAAATGAGATGGATGTGTTCTCAGAGCTCCTCACTAACAGCTTCAGGACAGCAGGGGAAACAACAGGCAGACAGACTAGATGAGTCAGCTGGAGCGACGTTGCAAACACACCGAACCGTTTGCCAAGAGAATCCTTTTTTCCACTGCTGCTTTTCCTGCCTTTATTTAAGTCTCAAATGAGAGGTTTCAAAGATAAACCTTTAGAAAAAGGGACATCATTTTCCCATCTCTCCCTTCTACATGGACCTTTCCCTTCTTCATAATAACACCAGTATTAGTGGGAGCCTTTCCTTGGCTGACCCTGTCGTTATCTGTATTATTAAGCTCTGATTGGAGAGTCCTCCATTCTAGAATATGTAACAGATTACTACCATTGTTCAGCTGAGTGCGTCTGAGAAAGTCTTTAGCCCCTGAAAAGATTCTAGAAAGACAATAAGAAAAATGGGAGAAGAATGATATTAAACGTGTTGTTATGTTTGGCCAGATACAAGAACAATGACAACAAAGTCACTATGTTGTCAAGGTGATGTGAAGTCAGGGGTTGAGCTGCATCCAATCACATGAGCTTACCCCTAACCCTGTAACAAAAAACCCAAGGTAAATCACAACAGCTTTGTCCTCGTTATTTTCTGCACTCTATCCCACAATGACAGACAAGTCAACCACACATTGTAGGATCATTTTCTCCAGTGGCAATAGCTGACATTCTCGATTACATACGGTATTGTCAAAATGTCATATGTTCATCCTATCTCTGTTCTCCCACCCCCAATTATAGACTTCAATTCAACTCATATTCAGCTGAAGGAGAGAGGCTGAACTTTCATTCTAAAGACACAAAGATCTGGGTGCCTCCACTGTGTGCATTCAGTGAAAAGTCAGACCAAGATTTCCGACATCGTCATCCACCAGCGGAGACGAAACGGGTCGTATCCGCTATAGCTCTCTATCTTATAGACGGTTCGGCCACACGAGGCCGACAGGGAAACGCAGATAACGATAACGGGTCCCAAGTAGGGCTGCAACAACTAATCGACTTAATCGATTAAAATCGATTCGTTGGTGACGTCATCACGTGTGTTTTACGCGCTGACGTCATCACGTTTTTTTTACGCGCTAACGTCATCACCGCTGTTTTACGCGCTTACATGTAGATATTAATATACTGGAGTTTGATAAGCTAATGGCCCGCTAAAAAACCCAAAGAGAACAAGAAGCGTAATGGCAACACCTAAAACGAAAACCTCAAAAGTGTGGGATCATTTCATACTTGACAATGTGAAAAAGGTTGTTAAGTGCAACATTTGCAAAGGCGATCTAGCCTGGCATGGGAGCACTTCATCAATGATGGAACATCTCAAAAGAAAGCATGTCGGAGTTCTGGAAGATGACTCCACTCGGTAAGTCAACTAACCTAGCTAGCTAGCAGTAGCTAGCCAATGTTTAAATTGCATGTCCTTGAACACAACTTTAGTTTTGATCACAAAACAGCAGGTAAGACGTATTTATATATATGGCTCTGTAAACGGAAGTTG